GTCTGTCTTTCTGCCTGTGTCTGTCTATGTATGTATGTATGTATGTATGTATGTATGTATGTACGTATTTCTAATCTGCCACTATAGCAGGTGTCATGCAAAAAATACCTGACGCCAGCCGCCATTTACACACACTTAATACCAGGTGACACCAAGGCCATACATGACACCAGCTGACACACACACATGACACCAGCTGACACACACATGACACCAGCTGACACACACATGACACCAGCTGACACACACACATGACACCAGCTGCACACACACATGACACCAGCTGACACACACACATGACACCAGCTGACACACACACATGACACACTAACTGAAACACACACATGACACTAGCTGACACACACATGACACTATAGCTGACACATACATGACTCAGGCCAGTACACCCAGACGAGCCGGTCATCTACAGGAGTTACCGTCCTAACACGAACCTTCTTATATTCCCTCACCTCTTACCTCCCCCCACCCATAACATGAACCTTCCTCCCTCCCTCCCTCTCCCCTTCTCACCCCTCATCCTTTACCCTTACTCTTCTGTAAAGGGTTGAAAGATAGAGTAACCCCTCCCTCCCCCTCATCTTCCCTCACCCTCATCCCTCTCTTCCCTCTCACCCCTTCTCCTCACCTCTCCTTCCTCCCTTCCCCCACCCATCTTTACTGTTATAAAGGTAGGGAGGTGAGGGGAGAGGGAGGTGAGGGAGGTGAGGGGAGAGAGAGGGTAATGAAAGAGGACCAGGTAGTATGAATTGAGGGGGGGCGTTGGGTTGTTGTGGGGCTATTTAGGGGAATGGTTAGTGAGGGGAGTGGTTTGTTGAGTGAAGGGTAATGGCGGGTGATGGGGAGAGGAGGACTGTGCTAGAAGAGAAGGGGTTGTAGGGAAGGGGGGGGTGTCTAGGTGTGGTAATGGGGAGAGGAAAGTCAGGTTAGGTTAGGTTAAGTTTGGTCAGACAGGTCAGATTAGGTCAGATATTCACATCTTCAACAAGGAACAAAGTACATCTGGCCGGCCATATACAAGTCAACTTTACTCATGAGATTAAAATATTCATGACGTTTACCAACTAACACGTAGTGGCGTCATGTACCGTATTAAAAAGAGACCGTTATCAGTACACTCACTTGTTTGTTTACAAGTTTGCATGATGCTTCGTGTCTCGCAAGATAAGTGAGGTCATCGTGGAGGGATGACGTCACTTACAGGATGGATGACGCCACCAACAGGAGATAACAGACGCGAGTGTTATGTTGAACTTGTCACAGTCGTATGTGTTTTGTTTGTGCTGCTAACCCAGTTGTGTGTGTGTGTGTGTGTGTGTGTGTGTTAACCCAGGTATTATCCACTCTGGTAATCCTCTCAGTGGACGCCGCTTGACCAGGAGCCCTTGACTGTGCTTTTGGCGAGCCACCAGGTAACTGTCCAGGTGAACTCTTTCGTTAATAGAATGACTCCCAGGTATTGCTATCTCACTCAGGTATTCTCTTATCTCTCACCCATATTTGAGAAAGAGATGGGAGGAAAAATGAGAAATACCTACGGAAATAGTTCACTAGCGATGGTAATAGTTAATAGCGATAGAAATAGTCACCGGAAATATTCAAGGTCTGTGTCATCCACACAGCTGCTATAGTTAGGTGGTCTTTAGGTAGAAGCCAGTCATATTATCCAGTTCCATCACCGACACAAACTCTATCTTCCCCCATTCCCATCACCCCTATCCCTCCCTCCCTCATCGCCCTCACCCACATCACCCTTCCCACATCACTCCCACCCACATCACCCCTTTCCCACATCACCCACCTCCCCCCCCATCACCATCCCCATCACCAAACCTGAGTCCCTTAGTTTAATGAGTCTGTAATATCATAATTTGCTCCGAACTTGGCGAAATATAACTTGGACGATTTTAGTTATCATTGCCTGACGTCTGGGGGGGTTGTAGTGGAGGAGTTAGCTGGAGTGTGAGGGGGGGAGTGGTGGTTGATGAGGAGATTGATAATGGTTGGTGGTTATTGGTTGTGGGTGGTTAATGGTAGTTAGTAAGATGGTGGTTGAGGGTAGTGAATGGTGGTGGTTGTGGTTAATTGACGATTGATGCAGGAGGTAGAAAGGGAAGGGATAGGTAGGCCTAGGACAGGTGTGTAGTGATGATATGGATAATGTTTGAAATTCTCACTTAATGGCTATATGTAGGCGGAGGTGTGTGTGTGTGTGTGTGTGTGTGTGTGTGTGTGTGTGTGTGTGTGTGTGTGTGTGTGTGTGTGGGAATATGTTTGGTTAATACATGATGTTGTGTTAATAAATGTGTAAATACGTTTACTTAATTTGAAGAAGTATTTAAATGACATCTTTGTATGTATGTATGTATGTTTGTTTGTATGTACGTTAGCTGACCCATGTACGTATATAGTGTACACAGACCACTAAGAAGCTTCTCCAGTGTTAATAGTCCGAGTAAACACTTTATTGAGACCCACAATGCACTTAGAGCGTTAATAAAACTCTAGTTAATAAAAATACAAATTAATACAACACTAAGGATATATTGACAGAGAAACAGACAGAGATAATATGAATACAGACAGATAGACAGATAGACACATACACACACGCATATACAGACAGATAGACAGACAAAATAAAAGAAAGGTTAAACAGACGGTAAAGACAGACAAACCGATAGACAGATTGACAGACAAACATATAGAAAGAGTTGAGACAGACAGATTAACAGACAGACAAACCTATTGAAAAGGTTAAAGACATAGACAGACAGACATATGGACAGACAGCACTTGACAGCCAGATTGACAGACAGACAAGCATATAGAAAGACTAAAGATAGACAGAACAGACAGACAGACGACAGACAGATTGACAGACAGCAACTACCTGGGATGAATTAGGAGACAGGCGGCATCTGCTTGATTATCTGCAGGTACTCCCACCTTACCTGTGCTGAGTGATGTGGTGGTTAAATTTGGAGTGACAGCCGAGGGTGGAGGAGGAGGAGAGAGAGTGGGAGGAGGAGGGAGGAGGAGGAGGTGGAGAGGTGGAGAGAGGTGGGAGGAGGAGAAAAAATTGGGGCAGGTGGGAAGGAGGAAGAGGGAAGGATGTGGTGGAAGAGGAAGGAGAGAGGGGAGAGAAGGGGGAATAGTGAGAGAGAGGAGGAAGGAGTGGGAGAAGTGGGGGTAAGATGTGGTGAAGGAGTAAGAAAGAAGGAGGAGAGAAGGAAAGAAGTGAGGAAGGGAGTATGGGTGAGGGAGAGGTGTGAAGTGGGGTGAGGGGGTAAGAGGGAATGAGGGAGAGGAGAAAGAGAGTGGAAAGGAGGGATGGAGGGAAGGAAAGAGTGAGTGAGTGAGTGGTGGTGAAGACTTGGTGAGAGAGGATGTTGATCAACATGCAACATCTCCCTCTCTCTCTCTCCTCCTCGCTCTTCCCTCCTCTCCTCCTCTGATCCTTCTCCACCCCTCTCCCTCAACACTCACCATAGGACGTAGTTCAGGATATCCTATGATTCGTCAGGCCACAAGAAAAGGACTGGGACTTAAAGCAGTCATTGCCAGGCTGTTATGGCTTCCCTGCACATGTTAAGGAGATAGTATGACCTGGGTGTTTGACCTGATTTTTGACGTGTGGTTATTTTGGTGATTTTTGACGTGGTTAATGGAATTTTGACGTGTGGTTAATTTATGGTGATTTTTTGACGTGTTTTTAATTTTTTGGTGATTTTGACGTGGTTATTTTTTGTGATTTTGACGTGTTTGTTGTTAAGTTATTGTGATATTTTGTGTTGTTAAATTATTGTGATTTTTTTACGTGTTGTTTTGGTTAAATTATCGTTATTTTTTGTGTTGCTGTTAAATTCTTGTGTTTTTGTCGTTATTAATGTTAAATAAATATAATTTCTTAGGTGTACTGGCAAGGTATATTGATGTGTTCCCGTCAAGTAATTGTGATAGTGACCAGGCCAACGTATCACCGTAGATTATAGGCCAAATTATACATCAGGAAGGAGTTACAAGAGTTATATCAGGGTCAAATCTAGACCTGATGCTGTTTTGGACCCCCTTCCCCAGAGGTGTACCTTTGACCCTTTAAATAGGTCACTCGATACAATATGACACCAATTCCCAATGACACATGACCTCGTTTAAGTGATACAAAGAGAGAGAGATGGAGACGAGAAGATATGTAGAGAGAGAGAGACCACCGTCCAGCTGCACACTGCCATATGTACACAAACACATCTGTGTATCCTGTTTCTTAAGAACCTCTGGGTGTGTGGGTGAGGGGGGGTGGGGGGTAGCTGTTACCACACCCTCCTCCCTCACCCTCCTCCCTCATCCTCCTCCTCCTCTCTCCTCCGCCCTCCTCCCTCACCCTCCTCCCTCACCCTCCTCCCTCATCCTCTCCCTCACCCTCCTCCTCACCCTCTCCTCCACCCTCCTCCCTCATTCTCCTCCCTCATTCTCCTCCCTCACCCTCCTCCCCTCCCGCCCTCCTCCCTCACCCTCCTCCCTCACCCTCCTCCCTCATCCTCCTCCCTCACCCCTCCCTCCCTCACCCTCCCTCCCACCCCTCCTCCCTCCCATTCTCCTCCCTCATTCTCCTCCCCTCACCCTCCTCCCTCATCCTCCTCCCTCCACCCTCCTCCCCTCACCCTCCTCCCCTCACCTCTCCCTCACCCTCCTCCCTCATCCTCCTCCTTCTTCCTCTCCCCATCATCCCTACTGCTTTACCTCACCTCTCACCTCCCCGTACTCCCCTCCCTCCTTATTCCCCTCCCTCCCCTCCCTCCACGTCCCCTCCCTTCCCCTCCCCTCCCCACCCCTGTAGGTTCTGTTGTCAAGCTGTAGTCGTCTTGTAGGAAATTAACTGATCGTGGCTGTTAATGATGATGAGGATGATGATGATGATGATGACAATAATGATGGTAGTAATAGTAATGGTACTTATAGCGGTGATAATGATGATAATG